CGGATGTTGTACATGTCAATGGGTGGATGTTATCACTTATTCAGTCAGAATTTCAGTTTTGAATCGTATACCTAAGTTCAGAAATAAATAGCTTGTTTCAACATATAGCGTATCAAACATTTGCATCAAAATCTGACGAAGGGAAGTTGTTGAATAGAAGTGAGTAAAATTTGGTACGAAAAGTCCAATTTGATCAAGACCACATTGGCAAAGACCAGATTAATGATAAAATGGATATGGAACGGAGTAAGGAACTGAAATGATTGTATGTATTTGGATGGTGATGTAGGTATTTGGATTTGATAAAATCAGAAGAGCCTAAGAAACCTAAATTAATAATGAGCAGAACCTTTTTTATTTTTGTATAATTACGTCTTTAGATTCGGGTGTATACGGAAATTTTAGAAAACGGAAAATTAACCAATTTTATTTTGAACTATCCTACTTTGTGAGGATGTGGGGCGCATTTATTTCTAAATTGGCGTGAAATTGTCAAGAATGGAGTCAGCGGTCGCCTTGAACTACAGCGCCTTCAACTTTTATTACCAGTTTTGGTAAGTCTAGAAATACTTGTCACAAACGGATGTTCAGAACGATCGCCTCAATTTAGCAAGTGGTCGTCAAGTTTTCACCCGATTCGTCTGTATAAATATTAGGGTTCCGTACCCAAAGGGTAAAACGGGATTACCTACCCTATTACTAAGACTTCGCTGTCTGTATGTCTGTCTGTTCGACTATCACCAGGCTGTATCTCATGACATGATGTTAGACAGTTGAAATTTTCATAGATGATGTATTTCTGTTGCCCCTACCTGTAACAGCAAATACCAAAAAACAATAGAAATATGTTTAAGTGGGCCCCCATACAATAAACACGAGGCGGTTGCTAGGCAACCTATAGGTACTTACCAATTAGTTTATTATAGATAATGAATGAAACCCTTCGTGCGCGTGTCAGACTCGCAGTTGGCCGGTTTTTTGATAGTTTAATTTTGGCAATATCGATTTTATTTAGAACGATTTGTGTTGACAAATCTTTCAGCATGTTGATGTTCACAGACAGTAAGACTTGATAGAAAGTGTGCGACATATATTCCTTAGTACAGGACCGCCTGGACAAAAAAGTTAAGAAAACATCACAAAAGTTGGTTCGAAACATACATGTAAAGCTCATTACTGTTTTAGTCACGAAGATACCTCCGAAACTGAAACTATTGATTAAATTCAAGGAATGGTTCCAATATAGAAATCTACAGATTTTCTTACTCATGGTATTGATTTTTTTTCTGTGAAATCAATAGTTGTCTAAATTAGTAGGTAAGTCTTATTAAAATTCTTGAATTCATAAAATCTTCGTATATAATAACATTTTGTTACAAATTTCATAAAATATTTGCGATTGTAAACGTTATGGAATACAATGAAATTAGCACGATAGAATCGATATCGTCGAAAGGTTTGCCACGAGTGAGGTCAGTTTAATACCAGTAGCTACAGAATTTGCGAGGGTCAGTAATGACCAATCACGAGCACCCGCCCGCAAATGCTACTGTGTGTCAAGTTGATTGTAACAAATTCTACAATATCACGATTTGTAATCTCGCCTTCACTACCTGATAATGCACTTCAGAGTCAAGTTTCGATTTTGACGAGACAGTTGGCATAATTTGCGTAGATTTCAGTAGGAACATTCTGATCTAAGCAGTTGAATTTGTGTTAGAGAAATATAACGAGTAATGACAGGAGACAATGATGAATACCCGCATATTCCAAAGTGTTAGAAAATCGGCAATTTATTTTTCGGCTATAATGTTTTGGAACAAAAATAAATTAATTCTGCCCTTTTCTAGAATTCGTAGAATAAGTAAATCATTATTTCTTGATATGGAGACATTAATGAATCACAAAATATGTCCGTGGAGTCTATACTGTCAAATATTGAAGCAAATATACTTTAACTGGCGCATTAGCCATTTTGAATTAGCAAACGCGTTTATCGAGGCAATATTGAACTAGATTTTGTAGAAGTAATGCGTTAATCATCGGTAACGTAAACAATGAAAGTTAAAGTAACTTCTATATTGATGTCAACAAGTTTTTTTGATAAATTTTTTCCCGTACTTTAACTGCCGAGAGATAATTTCAAATATTTATTGCTGTTAACTCTGAAAAATGTAGCCAATCAATATTATATAAGCAAATGAATCGACTGCTGCTATTATTAATATCGTCGATCAAAATATTTACATTTCGCAGTCCGTTTCGTTCGTTTCCCGATCGGCATATCAAATGTATCCATTGTCCGCTATCTATCATTACGTAAATGTTTTATTGAATAACTAAGCAGAGATGGATGTAACACTATCTTTGCGAACGTCGAAATTTGTCTGATCAATATCAATCATAAATTTTGATTCAACACAAGAGTTTAAATACTTTGAGTAATAACTTGTCATCTGAGTATTAAATATATTTTTGTCATATGATACTCTTGGTTTCTGACCATACTGGATGAATATTGAAATGGTTGTTTTGATAACTTGCAACTACAAACACAAAGTACACTTACACTTAAAATATTTAATACCATACTCAATTAAAGGACGAATAAGCAACATTATTTACGACGTGTTCTAAATTTAAAAACCCAACATCGTTACAACTTAACATTACAAATACGCGGACCTCATAAATCTCGTTGGAAATTCCCGATGGACTGACGGCCCATGAAAAATCACCAAAGTCCTTTCGTATTTTTAAACCGTAGTGGAGTCATGGCAGATTGCCAAGCGTTAGCTTCCATTCATTTGGCCTTATATCGGCGGTATAGTAGTACAGCTGAGAGATATTTCCGTTGACGAGGCTATATATGAATTACGTTAGACGATTTTTCGCCTCGCTTTATTTTTTTTAACCTTTAGAAGGAAAAATTTCCTGGTTCATCGCGGAATAAGGTTTATTTTGACGGGAACCACTGTTGGAGATGTCGTAAAACGTTAACGATATAAGAAACCCAAAATCGGAGTGGGACGCTTTCATGGTGTTGTTTCTTCAACGCGGAAGCTTTTAATTTATTGAATTAGACCACGAATAGATCTGCGGTGAACTGTATCAGATTTCATAAGTACTGCTTATGAAATCTGATACAGTTCACAGAAATCAATCCTTGCACATTCTTCACGGAACTCAATCCTTGCATACTTTTATACATTTGATTTTAAATTAAACGATACATTGTCTCTGTTAACACAACAAAGGAAATGGCTATCCAATGCTAGTCTTTAATTTCATTTGAAATTATCTTATAAATGAATATCATTACAATTTGCTTCTGAATTAGCATTGATATTTGCTTTACCATTCCGTTTAGGTGAAGCACCAATGAACTTTTACTTTATTCGTTTATTAGCAAATTAATCAAAAATTAATACGGTGACGCATATCAGAGGCAGTTATAGGTAAGTATTTCTGTCAACCACGGATAATTGAACTGGATCTGGGAAATCCGAATCTGAGTATGATTTCCAAGTAGGGTTGCCGTCAAGCAGGCAGTGGTATTGAAAAAAACCAAGCAAATAATAGTAACAACATGATTCATAATTGTACCCACCCCACCTAGATGGTATAATATCAGGAGAATGAAGAATAATTAATGCATTTAATCTTGCATAAACAGAGATATTATTTTTGAGACACTACACGTTCCCGATTTTACGAGACACGTACACACATCAGCGGCGAACGTATCACGAGTAAAGATATTTAATACGTTCGTTACACAATGTATGAAAGTTCTGCGTAACGTCCATTTCATTTCCTGACACGCTATATCAAGATACGAGGGGACACAGCCGCTCGTGTTTTTGTTATTTCGATGTGGGCACTTCGAAGGTGAAACGGACTTAGATGTGTATCAGCGATATACAGCTGTTTGTAAATGAAGCTAATTAAAAATATTCCCTTTCGCTTTAAGACAGTCGCATATTACCCACGATCCTTTATTATTTCTTATGTAAAAAGGTGACGACCGATGGCTCACCTGATGTTAATTAATTAGTGCCTCTGTGGTTACAGTTGCGATGTCGACCTTTGAAAACTAGGGCCCCGTTGCCGTTCTCACCAGAACAAAGGCAAACGTATTTAACTTCTGCTTCACGATAGCCTACGCTAAAATTTAAGCAATCTGACATTCAACCAATATACAGCGTGTCGTTACCATCGCTTTATTCGCATATGCTTTGTGACCTTTACAAATGACGTTACAGTTTTATACGTAAGGTGTACTAAAATTCTTTGTTTTGGAAAAATTAATAACTCTGTAAATATTGATGTTTAAATAATGTAAATGTTTAATACAATTTTAAAAAGTTATCCCCTATATGCGTGTTCGTTTATTGTCGCGATTGTAAAGACACGCTGTATAAACTGATGTATTTCGCTTTTGCACGAATGGGCAGACGTGCCCGGGGAAGTAGAAGCCTCACAGAAGAACGGCGTGAATGGCAATAATAAGTATTTAACTTTACTTTCAAATTTCGCCTGGGAATGGCCGGGTAACTGGGGCCCCCCTTTTTTGTAGGTTGCCAACGCATCCCAAACCATCGAGGTGTCTGTGGAAATGGCGTTGCTATACGCTTAATACTAGGGTGAATCACTAGGCACTCGCTTTTTTTTTTTACACAAAAGTTGCCAAACGAGCAGACGGTTCAATGATGGTAAGTGCATACCGCCGCCCAGTTTCTTGTCATGAATGCAATAATGTTACCTAGGGTGACAGATGCGTTGACAATTTCGTTTGAAAATTGGGCTCCGGCTACCCTCCTCACCGACGAAACGCGAAATTATTTGTCATACTTCCACTTTACGCTGGTCTTCTGTGAGGTTGTCTGTAAATGGGGTACCCTAATTCGTGCAACTAGCCGAAACTGCTGCACTCCTGCCACCGTTTTATCTAATTAAAAATAAAGTAAACTTTTTATTGCCTTCAAAACCGTTCTCACCTGGGACGTGAGGTCCATAATGCAGTCGCATAGTGCCTCCGGTAGCGGGGTGAATTGCCCCTGATACGCCGGCGTCACGATACAGTCCTCGATGTCACCTGGAAATAAAGAATACCCATATTAATATGAGCAAAAGTGACAAATATTTTTAAATTTTGAATCATCATCATCACCATTTCAGCCTGTTTGAGTTCACTGCTGAACATAGGCCTCCATAGACTGCCACAAAGTACGATCCTGAGCCTGCATCACTCCACCACGGTCGTCACTCTATCTAATGGAGTTTGTCCTACACCGCTATGGCCAGTACGAGGCTGCCACTAGAGAATTTTTCTTCCCCAACTGTTGACGGTTTTACGAGCTATATGGCCGGCTCAACGCCGCATGAGGAAGCTCAAAGTCCCTCAGCGAGCTATGGAGCGGGCTATGCTCGGTATTTCTCTGTGTGATAGAGTTCGTAACGAAGATATCCGCAGTAGAAACAAGGTAAACGACATAGCTCAGAAGATTAGCAAGCTGAAGTGGCCATGTGCCTGCCATATAATTTCGGACAGTGCATCATTATTCAGTGCTGTCAGTATATAAAAAAACGCATCAACACAAGGACCAAACGTGGGGACCCAGGGTCGAATCAAGCTCGTAGAATCTTGCTGTCCCACGAACGTTTCATGAAGTTTTAATAGTCTAGGAGCTGATTGCGAGAGCATCACTCAATAAAAAGATATACGATCCAGCGTAAGGTGATGCAGACACTAGTTCAGTAAGAATTTTACCTTGAAAGCTTAGTTAAGTCTACTTGACATAATGTAATAGGAAAGGTTGCAGCCAGTATTTTTGACTACTTTACCTATACTACTTTACTGCTGAGCTACTTTACGAATGAGCGAAACAAAGTCCTGTCCCAATTTTCAGTCCAGTAAGACATTTGGCAGACCATTATATTTATGCTTCGATTGTAAGGTTTTGGGGGTAAAGTAATAAGGTTGTTGAGACGTAAAGAGCAAAAAAAGTTATGTTATAATTGTGCTACAGAGCTTGTGTTTTTAAATTACCTAAATGGCAGAGAACGTAATGGGCATTACGTACATGACGTGTCTTACATAGCGTGTCGCAAAGCTCTATTGGTGACTAAACAGTAAAGTATCAGCCTATACATGTCCCTCTACTGGGCAAAGGCCTCCTCTGTACCGAGGGTATTAGGGCGTAGTCCACCACGCGACCGCACTGCGGATTGGCGGACTTCACATATCTTCGTAAAATTTTTTTTTTTGTTATTATTTCGAAACTATGCAGGTTTCCTCACAATGTTTTCCTTCACTGCTGAGCACGTGGTAATTCAGCACTTAAAATTGACAATTTCATTAGTGCTGGCACCGGGGACCGGTTGACCGCAACTCAGGTTGCTCGAGTATATTGAATCAAACGCGAGCGCCCGGACACTGACCTATCACGGCTCACAACTGGTAGCCTCAAAAGTCATCGAAATATTATCTTGTGTTTCAGAGAGCTAAGCTTAGGTTAGCGGATTGCCACGCGGTGTATTTTTTTACCGTTGGCCGTTAAGTTCAGTATGTATATATTTGAAATTCCTTAAAAATTTGATTGCCCGATTTACAACAATTTAAAACTTTCTCGTTTAACATTAAGTACCACTGAAGCAGCGTGAATATCGACAGCCCATTTCAACGGTATACCCTATTGCGTCCAATGAACCCATCTCCCCACTGCGTAGGAGATAATAACACTTATCTCACAGGATTAACAGTGATATACCGCATAGGTGCATTGAACCAGGGTCGTATCGCGTGAATTTCAGCGCTGTTTGATTCCGCGGAATTACGGGTCGCCCCATAAATCGCGTCCGCATAATGCGACGCGACCTGCGGAGCGGGATCTGTTGGCGCTGAGCCAAATGGCCCGAGTCACGAGCTTTAGCGTTTAAAGTATTTTTATTTTATTATTTTGCAGATTTGTATATCACTTGTTTGTGTTTTGTGTATTTGTCAATTAAACTATAGTGAATTTAAACTTCAGAAATAAATGAGTCTGGGATCGAAGCTCGAAGCTTCGGTTTCGAAGCGTTATTGGTTTACTAAAATTAAAAAAGTTAAAGTAACGCCTATTCATTTCTGAACAAAGGCCTATTGTGTACAGTGGGTATTAGGCACAGTTCGCCACCCTCGTAAGTGCGAAAATATTTTTTGTTATTATTTTAAAACCATGCAGGTTTCCTCCTGTTATTTTCCAACGCCGCTGACCACGTGATAAGTCAGCACTCAATATTAACGATTGCATCGGTGGCGGCACCTGAATTTTCACTAGGGTTGCTCTGCCTTTTTGAATTCTCTCTTTCTCGGTTTTCTAAAGATAACAATGTAAATGTGTTAAACATAAAAACTTCGAAATGAAGGAACACAAAAACATATAATAATTTCTTGCATTTACGCGATTACACATTAGTGACCATGAACGCCGTAAAGGGTTCGAAATGTCGGGTATTAAAACCAAATAAACGCGATAAATCCGTAAACACAGTTTCATTTAGTAATGGATCAGATATTTCTAGATCGTACAAATACGTGTTACGTTCGAAAATTCAAGGATTCACCTCGACTTACGGTCGAAGCTTATGCATGAGTGAGACACCTAAAGTCATGTTGTTCGGTATTTAATCATGCGTGTGTATAGCAATAAAAAATTAACCTGATCATTTTTAAAAATGCACAATAAACTACCGGTTTCAGTGCGACGAATACAAAATCAAAATGAAAACAGCAATTGTTTGCAAACCTTACAATATTCTGTTTCCAATATTTTACAAAAAACTAACGATTGATAAAAAAACAATGTTAAATTACATAAAAGGTTATTTTAGTTTTTCGTTCAGGTTCAGACGTCTTTAATATATACCATGTGCATTTTACCATGACACTGGCTCGTCGACAAAGTTTGTTCGCAATACAACAATTGACTTACGGGTTGTCGCACGCAAATTGTGCGTGCAAATTGCTTATTTATCTTACCCTGTTGAGCAAACGGCAGAGTATTAATGCCCGCAATTCCCCTGTACATACCACAGAGTAAATTATACATAGAATAAACACTTCAACGATGTCGATAAACAATTTGCACAACAATGTAAGGTAAGTTGACCAGTTATAAAGTAAATTTAGATCCCCGTTCCGTGTTAATATTGTGTTATTTCTGTGTTTGCAGTTTACGATCAGCTTGACGGTTGCGATTATTGCTAAGTAATTCAGATAACGATAGAAATTCATTCTTAGGCGAAAATATATCAATTAGAATGCTTATTTATTCATTACTAGCTGTTATCCGCGGCTTCACCCGCGCAGCCAGAGGGTATTCACAATGAGCTTTAAGTGTCAACTAAGTAGTGTATAATTTATTTATATATAAGATTATACACTACTTAGTTGACATTTATCACTATCTATATAAAATTAAAGTTTCGTTAAAATTTATTCCGTAGTTTCTGTGTGAAAAAGTAACAAAAATCCATCCAACATACAAACGTACGCCGTTATAATATTAGTAAGGATTATAGTATAGTACAGCATTATAGTATAGTATATATAGTATAGTAAGGACTGTAAGGATATGGATTAGAGTCCAGTGATGGTATATGAGGTAATAAAGGTGATGGTGGCAGATCCGGTGTATGTGCTTGAGGATGTTATGACGATCATATAAGGACAGCGCAATCAGAACTCATGTAGGGCAAGATAAATCGAGTTAAACCTTGACGATTCTGTAATAATAATAGGCCCACCCATGATTGTGACCGTGCTCACGTTCGAAGAACTCGTTCTGCCGACGTGCAGTAAACGGAGTAACGGCCCTGATGTGATAAATCAATTATATCAATAAAAAGAAGCGATAAGCATCGATCATTAAACATTTATTATCTGCTCTGAAGGACTTCTTATTTGACTACGAGGAAAGAGTATAATAAAACATAGAACAAAATATATAAATAAATTAATATGTATTTATTTTTATTTTTTTTTACTCTTCGATTATCAAATATGGCATCTGCTTTTCGACGAGACAAGCGTTGACTGGTAGAGAAGCCATTAGGCATTTAGTCCACCAATTGTAGCCCTTGAGGTGTAAAAATAAAGTTTAAATAAATAAATAAAGAACCTATATTTGAGGAAAATCAGTACTTAGTACATTAAAATTGTTAAATAGGTAGTGGAAATGTTCTCACTAATCTATATTCTATATTCTATATTGCACCGGTGCGAAGCCGGGGCGGGTCGCTAATATATATATAAAAATGAATTCCTATTTCCCTTGGTCACGCCATCACGCGTCGGACGTGCTGGACTGATTTCACTTTTTTTTTTGGTGTGTTTTTTATTATCAGGAGAAGGTTCTTATGAAAGAAAAAGTTTAAAAAATTGCGCGGAAAATTAGAAAATTTTAGAATACTTAACAACTTATCATATTATTTCTAATTTAACTTTATACACGCAAGAAAAAAAACAAGAATATTGTATATCTTAAAGCATTAAAATAATAAACACACTTTTTTTATTAATTATACCAATTAGAATTAAATAGTCATCGTTAAGACAGGACAACGCCTGTCGGGTCAGCTAATTGAAGATATTTGTACAAATTTAACCGCTATTTGCTAAATGGCTCAAAATGTATGAATAAATATAAACAGACACTACATTGTGGTTGTAATATGTGATAGTTGACACGGAGAGTGTGGGTTCGAATTTCTGTTACATTAAAAGGATATTTTTTCGTTTTGCCTAAGATCCACGATTTACTGTCACAGGGTTACCATATATCGCACCCGGTGTAAATGTGTTAATTAGATGGCGTAAACAATCTCTGTTGCTAAGCCACTCCAACAATTAATAGTAACAATTAAAATTGCAAACTGTAATGTATTTTTTAACAACTAAAATTACTCTTCGTCCATCTTCGACCTATATTGAATTTAATTCTCTTCTTTGAACACAAGTTCAAGTTGAGGTGCATAGATTATTAACGTGTGAACGTAATAACCGGGTGCCTGACTTATAGCCGTTCCAGCAATGATTGAGTTGTAAATATTTTT